AATGACCTCCACCACATGCTCGATTAACTGGGTGCGGCAGTGGCGAATTGCGCGTGATATGGACGTACGACGCATATACCGCACTCGCTGTTCCCTAACTTAGCTTGCCGTGATGACTAGGCAATGTTAATACGGTCAGAAACTGGGCGAAAGAGCAGTGGGTGTCAAAACTAAACTGCAGTCTACGCGTGTCAGACCAAACCTCCTTCCCACTTCATGTATCGAGCTCCTGTACGGACTGCTCAGATCTCAGATGCGACTGATTACCAGAAGGGCCACTTTCAGAGGGAGCCAATGTAGCCGGCCTGTTAATTCTCCAATCACACCACAGTGCTTAAATGGGAAATAAAATTTTCAAGCCTTCTAGATCACGCGAGACAGTGTAATACGCGGCAGTTAATACAAAATATATAGTGTAAACATTTTTCCAACATACAAATAAGCTCCTTTTGGAACTGCTTTTTAAATTTTCATATGTAAAGAGGTTTACCATTCAGGAGAGCAAAGAGACATATAGCATAACAGTACATTCATATTCCAAATAGATTGCTTTCTCGTGCCGATAGATCATGAATGTGGGTACCACCCGGTAGTATGAATGATCTTCGATGACGTTCCAGGGGTTAATTATTTCCGTGTTCCAAACCAAAGACCAATCCGGACTCCCAACTATAACGCTCCTAACGCCAACCCTAATCCCAAACCTAACCTCCCCGGCTACCTTCGATGTGATTATGTCTATTAGAAGAGTTCCACCCCATCTCAAACCAAAAACGGAATCCTGGGGCGTTAATACTCACTCCAAACCGCAGTTCTCATAAAAATCTGATGTAAGTATAAACGTAAACGGCCAATGATAAGAGATGAGTTGATAGGGGGCTCGGTAGATCTTAGTAAGCCTATTGACCCAGTTGTGAAAATGACGATCAAATTGGACCCCAGGACAGTAAAGAGTAGGCTTCAGTATAGCCAGCGCTCTAACCGCCTGAGCTACGAGGTCACACTGAATGCCCCGATTTAAATCAAATTTGGCCAGAATATACGCACAGTCTACTGCAATGTATGGAGTCCAGCGATTGTGATACAGTAAACTGACTGGCCAAGCAAGATTTTCCAAGCAATTAATCTATGATGCAGCCAATGACTACTAAGCGCAGTTTATGAACAAGGGAGGTCGAAAACGCGCCGTTGCAGTAATTAAAAGTGGTCAGTTTCTCAGTCTATATATCTGGTTCGATTGAAAATATCGTGTGCTCGATTTTCGATTTAGGCATGGTGGACGCCTCAATGATGCCACAAATGGGCTGTTTGGTGGACCTTCGTCACGTCGCAGTCTACGGCAGTGTCTACGCCATTGCTGATGCTGCCTTTTGTATGGGCTTTGCAATTGGTAATTTTCCTTATTTTTCTGTACATTTTAGATGTTTTAAGTATTTCAAAATTATTAACGCTTATGTTAACCATAAGATCAGTCATCTGCTTCAGAAAGCTGCATATTTGCTACAACTTTTCGAGCTCGACCCGCACCACATTCGTCTAACAAAACGAAACGTTAGCCAATCCGCTAGTGCGGTCGCTTTCCACAAAGATTCCGCTAGCTGTCCCGTGTTGTAAATTCAGCTGGTTTCTAAACGCTTTCGGTGCTAGAGTTTGACGATCGCACAAGTTTTAGAAGCCGACGTGTTAGTGCCAGGAGTTATCGCCTCTAATAGGCCAAAATACTAATGGCATTGTCCAAGTACTCGTTTGTACCAGATTGCAATATTCAACTTCTCATTGTTCATAAGGACTGTAGATCGGGATTTCTATGATAAATCGTAAATGCTTGTTTATAT